TAAAGCAATACAAATATATCATAGATGATTATTAATGCTAAATGTATTTAAAACATTGGATGGCTTTAAAATAATTAGGTAGAATTAATAATGCAATAATATTTTTACGCTTCACGCCTATCACAAATTCACATTTTTTTTATTTTACATTCAAGTATATATATATATTATGTGGTATACATTTTTATTCTTTTATAGTCATGACATTAATACATAATTGTTTACAGGCCAATTTGTGTTATGGGATCTATGCACGACTCCACTACTTTCTGAACTTCACCCAGCTACTTTGTTTACCGTCTTTCATTACTGGATGAACTGATTAATCCAGGTGTGCCTGACCTCAGTAACCTTGACGACAATGGCCAGACACACCTGGTTTAAGTTAATCCAGTAATGAAAGACAGAAAACAAAGGTGCTGCCTTAAACTCAGGAAGTAGTGGAGCTGTACTTAAAGCCAATTGTGGCCCTTTACTGGTGAATATTCAAGTTCATACATCTTTCAAATTAATCACTAGAGGGCGCTGTTTGACAAGAGTTCCATACAATCTGACTTTCTTGGCCTTCCTGTCAGATCTTTGTATGCAATCAGAAGAAATCAGATTTTACTGTGGCAACAATGAGACACCATGACTAGTTTATCTTCTTTTATTAAGCATCAGTTGGTAAAAGAAGAAACAGGCTTGAAAATCTTTTTCCTACAGCTTTTTTGATGATATTTACAAGTTCTTTGTGTAAAAGTCTTATAGTGCTACATGTGTTGAAGAAAACTGGAAAAGCACAAACATATTCCTCTACTAACTCAACAGGTACAAAGTTCAAAACCTTTACAAAACAACCCCATCCACCCCAATCAAGAGGGCAGCACACAGAGAGCCATACACCTTCAGGAACCTGAAGGAGCGGGATGAACAAGGGACTGTTTGTCTGCTTTTGTGTGTGACAAACTTTACTTTAATAATTTGATTATTAAAACAGCGGATTTCCCTTAACACGTTGCAGTTTGGGAGATATTAAAGAAAATGCAAAGAGCTATGAAAAAATAGCTTACTTTCTTCCAGCACAGAAAGCAGCGGCATCTGGATAGACTATGGCTTGTTTGCAAGAGATTCAGCAACAATTAGAGGCTCGTTTTTGAGGACTTGTAATTTACTGCATGTCTGACTGTGATGAATGCTAATGATCCCTGATCCTTCAGCATGTTGCACACCTGTCCTGTTTTCTATCTTCACCTCTGACTTCAACACTTCTTGTACAGAAAGTCATATGACCATTTGACATTTTTATTCCATTACTATGCATTGCTAAATGCTGGACTGTCTAGAATAAACTATATTATCCAACAGGCCTCCATACGACACCTTGCCTTTTTCTTATTTCTTGGGTATTTAGTTACAAAATATGCTGCTCTGAAATGCATAACACCGTCGTGTTGAAAACATTTCTGTAACTGAGCCCTTCCTGCAGGGCGAAACCCTGTGCACGGCCAGGGGGATATTTATAGACTTAGAGATGTGAACCCATCCCCAGAAGGATGCTGCAACCTGTCTTTGCTCTGTCATTATGGAGAAACAAAACAACAGAATGAACTCTGGGTTGGAGCTCATTGCTGGATGATTGTCAGAAATGCTCACTGTGAGAGGTGTGTTCATGACCCTGGTTGTAACTGAGCTCATTTTGTGTGAGGAATGCTTAATTCTCAATCACAAACAGATTTGTTAGAAGCGAGTGCAGCTTGCAATTCAAATTAATTCAGAACCTTGAAAATGTTGTAACACTGATCACATTGAGACCACAGACTTATTCCACACGGAATGGAGAATGTTTGTGAAGTGGAAAGAACATAAAACATGTTCCTAAAAAAAATAATTTAAAACAAAAATTTAAGAGGTTTATTCAGAGTCTCTGACACATTACTGATTCTATGAGAACCATCCCTCACTGCAATTAAAGCCATAAACTAAAGACAGGTAATACTGGATGGAAAACATTGAAGAATATCACTTTTTAAGATTCATTATAGAAATCCTGGACAATGACTGGGTTGTTCTCACTCATAAATATTGATCTAAACCCTTACATTGCATATCTTGTTTTTACAGTATGTTTAAGGTAATTTTGTGCGGTATGGTGAACCAACAAAACAGTGAAATCCTTTGCATCCTTTGACAGGATTTTCTTAATCAAGTGAAGGGTGATGTCATTCTGCAGGAGCAAACATTGCTCTGCATGTTGACCGTATCAATGAATTTTGGATGATCTGACTTGAACACCGGGAGGGATGTAGTGACCCTAGTGGAGGAGATTCAGTATCTTGGGGTCTCTTTCACGAATGATGGGAAGATGGAGCAGGAGTTAGACAAGCAGATAGGTGCAGGGTCTGCTGTGAAGCTGGTGCTGTACCGGTCGATCTACGTTCCTACCCTCAACTATGGTCATGAGCTTTGGGTCATGACCGAAAGAATGAGATCCCGGATACAAGTGCCTGAAATTAGTTTTCTCCGTAGTGTTACTACGTAGTGTTGTGGTACTTTGTCTTTCAATGTATTGAAGTAAAGAACACAGTATACACAAACATTTTGAAAAAGCATAGCTTGCCTTCCACCTCATGACAATATGCTTTCCAACACATAAGCTCCACATGAAATACATGAAGGTTATAATGAGAAAGTTGAAGCTGTATGATAACACTCTTTTTCAAAGCAAAGGTTACTTATGCCTTTGGAGAGCACAGTGCTACAGCCATCATTCAGGATGTCAGTTTAAATCAAGCTGATGACTGAAGCAGCACAGCTCAGTCTGTCCAACAGTCCTTGTTTCCAGTCTGTTCACATTTCACACTCTCTCCCTCTCTTCAGGAAGAAGTTGGCTGAAGTCTTCATACACATCCCTTAAGCACCGCTTTACACTCAGCTCCATGTGGTCATGCTCTCTCTCCTCCTTTGTGATCTGCTGAGATGTGGGCTTGTTTCCGTGAGAGAGAAACTTAGTGACATAAACCAATGAAGTGACAGTGACCAAGAAAGTCTTACAATCCAGTTTTCTGTTCTGTCCCCCAGACTGAAGACACAACTGAGATGAATAAATGAATTAAGACAAAGTCTGCACCCATTCTCTAGTAATTAGGCTACATGCGTGCATTAAATGTGAGCCATCCAGTCATTTCAGCCCCTCACCATGGAAACTGTTTACTCTTCTGAGAGCCAGTCTACACCTGTTTGGGTTTCTGGGCTTTTCCATTCAAATGTTTGGTGCACAAGACACAACTTTCAGTATCAAATATAAAAGCTTGACAGGATGGGTACTCATTTTGTTCATTTGCTCTTTTTTTAGACTCCATTAATCCAGACTGAGTGTGAATGATTTTTAATTAAAAGCAAAGGCACAGAAACATCTAACTCAGACTACAGAGCCAGGACAATTTGTTGGCACCCCTACAACGAAGATGTGTAAAATAGCTAAAATTAGATTTCTATTTCAATGTAGCAGCAAAATCACATTGGATTTTTAGAAAAGAGTAATTCAATCCTGAACGTAGTCGAATTTGTTTGTGTTTGTGTGTGTACCTGTCTAGCGATTAGAGTGGGGACCATTTTTCCAATTTCACCATCAGATTGAGGACCAGTTGTTGCAAAGTGAGGACATTTTGTTGGTCCTCACAAGCTATTTAGCTAACGGTTAGGTTTAGAAATAAACCTAACCATGGCAAATAAATATTAAGAAATAATCAAATACCAGGATCCCTTGACAAAGGCTTTAGTTTGCTTATGGAGTGGGCTGGCTCTAAAAGGAACCTTTGAAAAATCAATAAGTATTGCGTATTGAGTTTCTTAGTATGTTTCTATTAGCTTTTGATTACATGACAGAAGGAGAAACTGTGTTCATCTTTGCACCACTCATAGGTAGCTGTATACATACCTCTCCAAACAAACTGCCCCTAGCATCACAAGTCAAGTTGACAAGGGTTTATTTTAGATTTCTTGTGCATGTTTTAAAGTATAATAGATACTGGAGCTTGTCTGGGGCAGTCAGACAGACGGCAGAGGATTCAGGAAAATTTCCTGAATTTTTCAAATCCAAAACTTGACAGGTATGAAAACAAAAAGGCGAATACTTGGCTAAGCTTCTCATACCCAATTGTCAAGCACGTTGGAGGATCTGTAATACTGTGGGCCTGTCTTTCCAAAAGGTTATGAAAACCCTATTTCAGTGTGTGGAATCATTCATTTTAATTAAACAGAAGGATATTTTAGTTACAGATCTGTTGGCCTCTGCAAGGCAAAAATGAAATACCCTCAGTGTCTCTTTCACCACAGCAGTGATCCAAAATCTACAATCAGATCACAAAAGATCTTCCAGTCAGAGATATCAATGGTTCAGAGAGCTGAAGAGACGAGATGGAGAAATTTTGCAAAAGTAGGTGGTTTAAGATTACTTGCTGTATCCTCTAAATGTGTACAGTTGTGTCAGCATATGATTTTTTAAAACTTGAATCAATGCACTTAGATTAAAGGTATCTTTCTAGTTTAATGTGAGAACATGGTAGTGAATATTTATTAATTTTAAACCTTTTACACATCCTTACTAGGTTGACCAAGACATGTGTACCACTACTTGATCTATAACCATCTACATGAAATAGGTCCAACATAAATACATTTTTCCTGTAAAACCTGCTTTCATCCAACCTTGAAAGACATGTTAAGTTAATAAACAAAATAAAACCAGTGTAAGAGTGCCAGGTTCGGTATTTTCTGTTAGGTGCCTTAAAAAGAGCAAAATGCATACATAACATTCGAGGAAAATGCTGGCTGTAAAATGCTCAGAAAATAGAGATATTTCTAATTTCTAAAAGGGATTGACCTTTCAAAAGCATAAAACAAATCTTGTTTTCTAAAAGCAGTATTGTTCAGATGCTAGGATATTCTACTTAAATGTTTGCCCTGAATGAACCACCAGGGCTCCCTGAAATGAGTCAGAATGTATGTTTTTTTTTTTTAAAGTAATGCTTTAACAATTTTAGATGATACATCAAAATGTACACTTCTCAGTATATATCATTAGAAAGAACAAGTCTTTGGTTCTTTACATTGCACACAAAAGGACTGCAACAAGCATTTACAGGGAGAGGGTAGCAAACATTATAAATTATCTACTGCTGAACATTGTCTAACAGAAGCCACTCCTTCATAGAAACAGTATATACAGTGCTTTGAATTAAAACAAATATGACATTACGTAACATGTCAGTCATTTTAGAAAATATCTTAAAAATATAAATAACTTTTTTTTTATTTGACAGGTGATGTGCAATGTTTTGGTAGAGTCTGACTTTGCAGCGATGCTTTGCAGTATTTAGTCTCATACATAACTGGATTTCTCACTGCTTACCCCACTTGTTCAATGCAAAGCTCACTTCAGCTGCTACAATTGCTTTGAACACAAATTCAAAAAGAATTATTATTTGATAGATAAATTAAACCTAATCTGAAGGACGCATTCAGGCATTCAGAACAAAGGTTTAAGTAGTGGCAGCTCCTGTGTGAATGGTGCCCTGAGCGAGCCCCCCTTCTGCCAACCTATCAAAACTAAACACACACCAATACCCCTGACAAAGCCCATTCAGCAAGAATTATGTTTGGTTATCTAACTCTCAGCGATAGTAAGAACTGTAAATATTAAACTAGTATTTAATTGAGAATAATGGACAAGATTTAAAGCATCTGTAATCAGTTTAACAAAATCCATCCTTGGTTTAACCAGTCTACATCTTGTGCATTGTAAGCTTGTCTCAGTTTAATGTGGTCGTATTACTAAGAAAGCATTAAAATTATGTTTTTTTTTTTGGTTTTTTACTTCTGTTTTCTTTTTTTTCTTCCTTTTTTAACAGACGATAGCTATTTATGGTTCATAAATCTCTAATTTGTATTTTTTAAAAACTCTGCTTGGTAAAGAATGATCCAGATAAGGGCTGACCATGCAGTCCAGATTCCTCTTAGTACCAAATCATGAGCTAAAAATTCAAAATCAACTTTACTATCATAACAGTGTACAACAATATAATCTTTCAGTGCTTACGGTCTTCACACCACAGGGAGGCACAGATTCCCATTCAATGGGTTTGCAAATGAGCCAGCTGTTTGATGCACAGCTGACAAACAGCTTTCTGTTCTTTGCCCTGTGGTCCTCCCCCTGTGGCGAACCGCCCTGGGTAGAAGGCCTTATTTCCTATATTAAAAACTGCCACTGGTTATATAACAAGAAGAGCAAAAGCACAACAGCTTTACTTGGAATCATTTTCAAAAGACGCCAGCTCTGGGGCAAAATGGGGACAAGAGAGAAAAGGAGGGACCTCACAGTGTCATTCTGCTGCGTTTATGTGAAACCTGTGCAGTAAAAACGCCAACCCAGGAGAGACACTGAGCCGCTTAAAAGAAACAGACTGAAACACTTGATTCTGCTGAAGATTTGATGTCAGATAAAAGAGCACTATTGCTACATAATTAACCTAAGTGAAAGGTAGTTATTGCACACACACATACCCAGATATTTATGTTCTGTCTGGTAGCCTGCCTCAGGCTTCCTTCTTTCCACCCAAACGCAAAACACAGGACAACATGAACTAAGGCCAGATTTGAAGGAAGTCGTAGGAAGCAAAAACCTGCCCTCAACCCTCTGCCTTTGGGACATATACTGAATATAAATACTGTAGGAAAAGAAGATGGGTGTCTTCCTTTCATACTGCAATGAAGGATTTTGAAAGACCTCCTCTTATTGTGCCTTGTTTCAGTGCCCTTTATGCTTCACTAAAGACTTGACAGTATCTGCTGCTGTGGCTTCAACGTTGTATCCAGGGCTTTCAGAAAAAGTGGGTTATAAAAAATGATAGACTAGACTCTTGAGGCTAGTGTAATGATTACCTTATTTGGGCTTGTATAAATAGTAAAAAATCCCTCCTTTTATTTCACTCTGAGTGCACAATTGATTGTTATTTTTTAATGAGTGTTTAGAAGAAGATACAACTATTTCCAGTAATCCACAGCAGTTGTATTTTTGCAGGAAAGCCTTTTCTTTCAGTCTCCCCGCAAAATTGCTCCCAGACAAGTCTCTGAAATTCTCAATTTAGGTCTGTCATCTCTCCCTCTACTTCATATTCCTTGTGCAAGCCTATTTGACTCTAAGAGTTAAACTGATGCTTCTCCCCCTGAAGCAGCTGCAGCTCTGGTGAAATGTGGTTCTCTTGCCCCTCTAGTGGCAGGCTGCTGTTCCCCAACTTGATTGAGAGGCCCTCCATATGGTTGGGACCCTGCTGAAAACCAGAAAGGTGCCCAAACCTGGGGCTCGCCCCCTCCAAAAGTCTTTGGGTCACGTTGGCTGCCGAACTGTCGTGCAGGTGCTCCTCTTCATCCGTGTCAGCGTCGATGAACTTACTGACAGAGGCATCGTGGAATGTGAAGACGCTCGGCCGCAAGTTCTCTGGGCTCTTGCTTGGTGTCCTGCTGCTGGCAGTGGTGTAGACGGATGTCTCTGGGCTCTGAACCGATGAGCTGTCTGAGAGACCTCCTTTCCCTGAGTCCTCCACACCTCTGACACTGACTTTTAGTGAGCGGCCCTTAAGCGGATTGTTCAGAGGTGGACCTCTTGGGCTGTCCCTGTTGAGCTTGGTGCTTTGGCTAAACACAGGGCTAGCAGTGCCATGTAATCCTTCATGCTCATTCTCCAGGGTGGGCTCCAGGCTGGGGTTGGTACTGACCCTTCCAGGCATGTTGGTGCTGGAGCCATGCGAAAATCTAGAGCTTTCGGGTAAATCGGGGCCGCAACTGATGAAGCTGTCAACGCTGGAAATGCTCTTCATGTCTGTCACTGCCTCTGTTGTGCCTGGGATGGCTTCTGTTGTTATGCTTCCCATCTCAAATTCAGCTTTCTGCCTGGCTGATTTTGAATGTCCAGCCTTTTCTTTGCTGTTGGCGTTAGCTTGTAACTGTGCCCTTGTCATTTTGTTGTACAACTCCTCAAGTGTCTGTGCGCTGAGGTGCTGAGGACTGCCAGCTGGTTTAGCCTTTTCTTGGTAGTTTGACTCAATTGTCTTATTGGGGCTACTGGGGTTGAGTGGCGATTTGATCCTGGGTGTTCCTCTATGGGGAGATATGTGATTGTCATGAAGCTTCTCCTTTCGCTCCTCAGTTTTTTCCACCATAACATCCATTAGTTCCACACTACGTCCAAATGCATCCTTACTGTTCATAGAGACAATGCTACCATTTCTCTTAGCCCTCTCCAGAGCCTCTCGCCTTTTGATGGCTTTCTCCTGCCTTTTCTGCTCTTTGTAGAACTCAGAGAAGTTATTCACGATAATAGGGATGGGTAAGGCTATTACCAAGACACCTGCAATGCAACACAAACCTCCGACTATCTTTCCCAGCAAAGTTTTTGGGTAAATGTCTCCATAACCTACAGTTGTCATAGTAATCGTAGCCCACCAGAAGGAGGCAGGAATGCTTTTGAATTTGGTGTCCTCTTCATCCTTCTCAGCAAAGAAAACCAAACTTGAGAAGATCATGATTCCCATGGCAAGAAAAAGGATAAGCAGGCCCAGCTCATTGTAGCTCCTTCTGAGAGTGAAGCCCAAAGACTGAAGACCTGTGGAGTGCCGGGCTAGTTTCAGGATTCGCAAGATCCGCATGATCCGAAATATCTGGACCACACGCCGAACATTCTGGAACTGCAACACACTCTTGTTGGACTCTGTGAGGAAGATGGTGACATAATAGGGCAGAATGGCCAATAAGTCGATAATGTTCAGGGGGCCTTTGAAGAACTTCCATTTGCTTGGAGAAGAGAGGAAGCGGAGGAGGTATTCCATGGTGAACCAGGCAATACAAACAGCTTCCACGTGAGCCAGCTGTGGGTTGTCTGTGGGCTGGCCAAACTCATCTGTGTCCTGTAATTCTGGGAGGGTGTTCAGAGACAAGGCAATTGTAGACAGCACAATGAAGAAGATGGAGATGATTGCAAGGATCTGAAAAAAAGAGGAAAAACCTATTAGAACGGAGATCAGGATTTTACCAAGCTGGTCCTCATGTGAAATGCTGTCTTCCTTCTGGAAAAACAATACAGCTTTTGTCCACTGGTGGGAGGCAAATTTAGGCAAAAATGTAAGTTCTTAAATACTGTTTTAAAAATAAATCAGCTTTGAATCAATAATGGTTATATTTAGCATTTTTGGTTCTTTCAGTTTTTAAAGAAAAAAAACAACCATTTAATATGATAACAATGACTAAAATTAACTCTACCCCTGAACTACATACTCAAAGTCATTTACTGTAGCTCCACAAAGTGGTGCATATAGAGCTTCAGCGGTGTCAAATAAAGGTAACTCCCGTGAGAAACTCTGATTCAAAGTAAAACCTGGTTCAGTTCCTTCTGCTGGAATATCCTGACCAAAGATGTGTATTTGATGTTTTATAAACCCACTTAACTTTGGACCCTTTATATGAATATTTTCAGGATAATCAAGTTCTGAGCTATCACTGGTTTGGCCACACTTTCCTTTAATGATTCTCATTGTATTAATGTGAGAAAGTTTGTCGCAGCAAAGTTCTTCCCTTTCTCTTTACCCTTAAAGCTGAAAAATACAAAACTCCCTGGAAAGTTGCATACTTATGAGTACCTCTGGATATTTTAGTGGCCGGCTAATGATCTAATCTGCTGAGTACAATGGGGTTTGGCCGCAGTGCCTGGGATTAGCACGGCTGCACACAGTTGTGGCTGTACGGCTGTGCCACACCTATTATCACCTATTATTTCTGTCCCACAATCGGTGTGAAATCCAACACAAGGTCACCATGGAGGCTGTGTCCCAGGCAACTGCTGTGAGTAGGATTATTCTCTGGTACTGGTCAGCCTTCATAAGCTTTAATTAATGCTGACAGGTGACTGCTTGAACACCAACCTTGGCCTTTGAAGAGATGGAGGGGACTAAGAGCAAAGAAACACTAATATAGAGAGGATAAAAAGAGAGGAGGGAGGGATAGTTGTTCATTTAAGCGATGCAAAAAACTTAAGCTCTCATCGAAACAACAGTAATTTTTGGATCCGTCAAAATAAAAAAAACAAATCGTTGTTTGCAGTCACAAGTAAAGGGCAGCATCACTACTTGCAATACTTTTAACAAATTTAGGATCTACTTGTTCATTAGATGTAAAAGGTCTGAAGAGGTAGGAAAGCACTGTAGTGAATGCGCACTAATTTAAAGTAAACAGTACAAGAGCCCCGTTCTGAACTGCACTGTGCTGTGGAAAAATACACTCATCAGATGAAGGCTTATCTCTGTTCAGGCTGCAGAGACATTAATGAATCATGCTGAATATAACAGACAGGATTGGAACTAAACGGTAACGTCTTGTGTAAAGGGAATACACGCACGACTACCTTCTCCTGGTCACTTTTTCCACCTCTGTCCCAGTACTGAGATGACGGGTCAGGCAAACAAGATATTTAAGAAAACCAACCCAGCTAGTGCTGAATGCTCAGACAAAAAGAAGGATTCAACAGGGACACACAGTTCAAGGACATTTACGAGAGGAAAGTAGCATAATTGAGGGTTTTTTTGGTAAATGCATTTGAATTTCTTCTTAGCCTATACTTCCAATCAACAGTTTCTATTACTGGCTTATATTACATAATTGTCAGAAAGGTTTTTTAACACATCTGAACAATTTTTTCTGGACTGAATGAATATACATAAAAAAAAAACTTCAGCAAAAACAATAGCTAGGTTTACTAATTCTTGATATGTTTAACTTATTCTTAAAGGCTGAAATGTTTATTACTTCAATGTTAATATTTCTACAAGGGAAATGTTATTCAGATATAAAGAACCAGACACTTCTTTGTTGATCAACATTATTTTGGCATATTACTGAATGCTTGGGTACACCTCTTATCAGAAATTGTATGTTTTAAATTGGTTGTTTTTTTAACTAAGACTCAACTTTTAGGCATATTTCCAACATTTCCAGGAGGATCCTGTTCATTTTCATTCCTTGACCATTAAATCAGTCTACACTTAGATGTTTGTGTGGCATTTAGCACTGTTTTACCATGAACCAACTTTCCATAAACAGATAAAAGAAATTAAATCGGAATGTTCGATAACAAGGCAGCTCAGTTGCGCAGGTAGCACTGCTGACTTGCAGCAAGAAGGTTCTGGGTTCGATTCTCGGCCCGGGGTATTTCTGCATGGAGTTTGCATGTTCTCCCTGAGCATGTGTGGGTTCTCTCCGGGTACTCCAGCTTCCTCCCACAGTCCAAAAACATGTCTGTTAGGTTAATTGGATTCTCTAAATTCTCCTTAGGTGTGAGTGTGTGTGTGAATAGTTGTTTGTCCTGTTTGTCTCTGTGTTGCCCTGCGATGGACTGGCGACCTGTCCAGGGTGTACCTCGCCTCTCTCCCATAGACAGCTGGAGATAGGCACCAGCACCCCTCGCACCTGGGACAATTGGGACAAGCGTGTCAGATAATGGATGGATGGATGTTCAATAACAACCCAGAAACCAAAATGGCAAAGCCACAAGTTACTTGAGCAATACAGTGATTGTTCCCACTGAAATAAGTTGAAAGTCTATGCAGCTTGGAGACATATTGCTAAAAAAGCACTGCATGCTCTGCTTTAAGCAAGGATCATATCTGCAGCTGAGAAAATTTTTATAGTCAGAAGAAACTGAATTAGTTGTTCAGCCAAAATGACAAGAAAGAATATTTAAAGGAGTAAATGTAAGGCCTTCAAACCTAATAACACTAAACCAACGGTCTGAGAAGCTGAGATAGTGGTAGAAATTGCCTTAAAAGGGATGTTTGCAGCTGTATAAATTACCTTTTTTTATATGACCATTTCATTTAGAAAGGGCAAACAGCTTTGGTATCATTACTTCCCTCCATTTTATGTTGCAATTTTAGCCACTTTGTACACTTTATAAGGACACATACCTATATGGCATGATATGACTTTTCGGCTCTTGAGGGGCAGATAAATTGCTGTGACCTTGAGTTCAGCACATGTGCCTTAAATGAATAAGTAGCCATTCAAATCTTAACAGCACAAAGATCCCAAACACACATAAAACTGGTTTAGGATGAATAAAAAGGCTGAGATGTATCCTTTACACATTCAGAAAACCTCCAAAGTAACCTGAGCTCTTATATTTTGAGAAGAAAATGTGTCAAACACTCAGAAAGAATGGTATAAGGAGCTTTAAAATGCTCCAAAATGTGTTATTTCAATGCAACATGCAGAGAGAAATTTATATGTTTAATGTTGCATGTATATAACTCGGACCCTGGCTGTTTCAAAGACAATATGCATTCAAATAAAATGAGTACACCCTGTTCTGCTTTTAAAACATTTTTTGAAGTTGTACACATTTCAGTGCAATGGAATCATAAACTTATTTTCTATGATTGTCATAAGTATATGTGTACACATCTTATCAGAGTACTAACTGTGCAAAGAAATAATGATATAAATTAGCATCTTATCTGGCCAGCATGTGCTTTTGTTGACGAGAAAAATGCAGATCTCAAACTTGAGATGTGTAAATACTATTATGAAGAAGAAACATGTTTTACTTTGTTTAGTTTTTTTTTTTTTTTTATTATATTCTAAACAATAAGTTAGGACTTTAAAGATATTCAAATGTACTGGTTGTGTTCACACTGAGTAAAACTACTAGATTTAATGTTGTCTTATCTAATTCTTTAATGGTAGGTAACCTGTTTGTACTGGTTATGTTTGTACTGAACTCCCATTAGATTTAGTCTGCTTCTGTAAAATAATCTCACTTAACATTAATAAACAGTTGCATATCAAGGAAAACTGTTATATTCACACCTCCTTAATCTACTAATTTACTATTGGTTATGTACTTGTGTCAAGTGACTGCTGGCTTATTTCCAAACAATAATAGTGATGGCTTATGGGCCTGATAGTGGGCCCCTATTTCAGATTTTGCTAAAGGCCCAGTTTAAAAACTGTATGAAAGAATAACAAAAAGTCTTTATGTAACACAGCCAAAGTTAAAACTAAAGACCTAGTGTTGTTGATGGTTAGTTATTCCTCATTGACTCAGAATATTAGACGCAGAAGCTGCCTGCCCAATCATCCTTTGGCAAAAAACTGTAGATACATCTTCAACTAAAACCTGAAACACACTGGATCTCCACCAAACATAAACACCCATGCATTGCACACTTACATACGCACTCCCAGTTCAGTAATTAGCTCCAGGCATCTCTCCCATAAGCCCCGGAGGAAGGAGACTGAATATTTAATATCCTGCTGAATTGCAAGCTATCCCAGTCCTGAAAGAGGTGGGCATCAGTGGATCCCCCACTGGGCCATGAGGGACTGCAGAGCCAGAGTGTTAGCCTAGTTTCCACACATATTTTTCTATACAGCATTAGGGCAGCTGTATGATCAAAGTACGGACAAGCAGGGAGGTTTTCTTTCACAGAACTACTGTTGGATAATGGTGAGAAGTTACGCACTCATTGCTCTACAGTCAACTACTGCTCTATTTCCAGGCCTTTACAAATAAGGTTTGTTTCACTTTTTCTAAATAGTAATTTAATCCTTCTTTTGTAAAATCTAGTTTATTTGTTCTTTTTGCACTTTGCTATAACAAAAAAAAGGATTTTGCAACATACAACTTATAGGTTTCAGGATTTTTTTTTTTTTTTTTTTTTTATCGATTTAAATATTTAAGATCACCAGCAAATGTTTATATCAGAAAAAGTTAACCTGAGTAAAGAATGATGAATATAAACCTACCTGATGAACCAATAACCTCCCATGGAGGCAATCAAGGATGTTATACAGCAGTCCTTTTGGTTTTAATGTCTTGGACCATTGTTTATCACACCTGAGTCAGCTTGCTAAATTAGCTTTTCAACATAGCTTTTTAAAGCCATGCTAAACCAATGCTTTAATTTAGATGTGAAGGGTCTTCTAGAAAAACTTA